CTCGATATGGTAAAATTCAAAATATTCTTTTTCAATTCGGATAGCTTGAAAGGGTTCGTTCATCGTGACAGAGATTGTCCTATCAGTATTGTTGAAAATTTCGAAAGTAGCGCGATAGTTTGAAGCGCAAGTCAAAGTTTCCGGTATAAATAATCCATTGAAATTTTTATTAGTAATTATAATTTCGCCTTCATTAATAGTGACGGGATATTTTCGAACCAAACTTTCGAAAGGCGGTATTTCGAAAGTGAAGGAAGTTTCGTGAGGTTGTCTATAGAAGAATGGTATTTGTACGTGGTCGTTGCGAAGTAGCTGATTTGTAAAATCGATATTCAAACCTAGGTTTTTCAGTTCTTTCAATCCTAGAATACCGTCAAAAAATTCGTGAAATTGAAATAACACATACTCGGTCTCATAACAACTCTGGAATTCTTCAAAAGCGGGGATAAGGGCTCTAAACTGAATTTCTTTTTCGCCTAAGGAAGTTTTTAGTTGGGACGGTTGCCTAAAAATTCTATCAGGATAATATTTTTCGATGATCGATGGCTTGAGAATTGAGGTGTGACATCCTGTATCAATCAATAGTTTAATCGGGGGATTACGAATTTTTATGTATGGGAGTCCGTTGACTGTGGCAGAATGAAGTTCTATCACATTGTCTGGTTCTTTGGAGGCGATTTGTAAAAATTTTCATTTTCAGATTCGTGGGCGTAATTGTTCGGTTCATCTGATTGTTCAGGGCATTGGTCGGTATAAGAATTATCTTGATAGTGTTCAGGATAGAGTTCTTGCATAGTGTCAATTTGGTCATAGGTGTGATAGTCGTTCTGGTAATTATTCGGGTAATAGTCATGCGCGGAATCAAATTGATCGTAGCTGTGATTGTACATTTCCTCGTCGATGGGTGTCCATCTTCGTGGTTGCGATTGGGCCGGATTGGTGAATGAATGGGACATGGGTCTGCTAACCGTTGGGTTTCTAGATGTAGTGGACATCGGTTCGAAAGTCCTTTGATCGGGTTTGCCTGTCGGTTTAAAAACATTTCGTGGCGGGCCAAACACTTGTCTGTTGGTTGGGAATGTTTGCCTCACTGGTCTCGGTTGGACATTTATAGGTTGGCTGGGAAATGATGGTCTAAAATTATTTTGGCTGTAATTCGGGAACTGATTTTGCGTTCTAGCGATGTTGGAAGGTTGATTTCGGAAACCCTGGGTTTGATTTTGGTTCCTTGGGGCCATTGGCTGAGAGTTTGGAAAGCTATAGTTTGAATGAAAGTTATTTCGAGTTTGTTCAATTTGTCTATTAGGTGGTTTGGGCGCATTAGCGTTCGGGCGGTTTTGGAATACTAGGTTCTGAGTGTGTCTGAAGTTCTCGTCCTCCAGGACGAAGTTCATCGCTGCTTCTAGGGAATCAGGATTCTGGACGATAACTTTGTCTTGTAGTCGTACATTCAGATTTCTCAAGAATACTTTGAGGGATTGGGATTCGTATTGTCGAATATGTATCAGTTTAACATCTTGGCCCATGTCGGCGTCAGAGTTTATTTTAAATGCTAATTTACTACGTAGTACTTGGATTCTCTTTGCAAAGTCTAGGGGATGTTCGCCCCTGTTTGGTGTGAGAGTAAACAGTTGTTGTTCGAGGTTGTCAAGGCTTTGGCGGTCGCCAAAAGTATTTCTTAATTCTAATTTTACTTGAGTCCATGTCTTCAATTCGGTTCTTGCTCCGATTAAAAGCTGGGCTCTATCCTTCAGCTTACTCAATAGTATACTCAAAATGCATTGATTTAATGTGGTGTCCGTGCCATGATATTTTTTGTGGAATTGGTCGGCAGCGTTTATGAATATTTCGAGGGTCTCTGACGACCCATCGTATGTTGGAATGGTGTCCGAATAAATTTTGAACAGCGTATAGTTTACCTCCGTCATATTCGAAACTCGCAATGAACTTAAAGTATTTGCTAAACTTTCAATAACGGGATCGGTCATCAAATGTTATTTCGTATGCTTGAATTTTGATGAATTCACTGAAATATCTCACAAAAATATTCTTTGAACGAATAAAACAATTTCTTTCGAGAATTACAAGATAACACCGTGTAATACAAGCTATTCTTTTTCTTATCACCGTCGGTTTTTAAACCGTGTAATATTTCACTCGAACAAACGTCGTCGCCTTCTGAGAATGCAACGAACTCTGACAGTGTCTAGTTTCGAAATGCGATTATATATATTTATTTAATTATCAAGAAATTCGGGTGAGAAATAAAAATTCTTTGGATCAGATCGATAGTTACTAATCTAGTTGACTTCTAAAGTCAGTCCACCGATTTCGATTGCGATAAAAGAAAAATGATGGATAAATTGATATTGATAATCGATATTTGACAAATTCAAGCGAAAATCTTTACGATAAAGTTTTCGGAGAAAATTTGAAAGCAGAAAGGAATACTCGACTTACCACGGTGGTGAATCAGGCTATCCTTAGCTGGAGTCTGCAGCAACTGGGTATGCCGGTCTCTGGTGGGCGATCGAAGCTGTTCTTTCGATAACGGATTAACAGTTGAAACTGACGAATTTCGCGATCGATATTCTCCCGTTATCCTACCGACTGCGCCAATTAAGCTTTCGGGCCACGAGAAACTATTTTTAAAAAGCCAAAATTTTAGTTTCGAACACATAACTTTATTTGTACAGAGAGATGTAGACGGTACGACGTCGCTAACAGAACTGAAAACTAACTATCTAGCATGGTCAATCGTATTCGTATAAACCTAAGTCAGCACTACATGGAAGTTACAATCTAAGGGTTTTCTGGGGGTTGGAGCATATAACTCGCATCTCCTTACACAAATCTTGTTATTAGTTTCACCAGATGTTTGTTCTATGCAATCGAGTGGAATTTACTCAATACATGAATAATTAGAAAACCATACATCAATAACTTTTGTTTACAATATAAATCATGCATTTCAATTATCCTACTGTGAATTGATCTTGGCAATGTCAAGAGTAATTCTGAAGAGCCAATTGAGGGTCCCCTGGTGTCCCAGTCAAGTCTTATCTCAAATTAAACTAGTGAAAATACGGCACGTGCTATGAGAAGACTAGATGACCAAGTATTGGTTGTCACATAGATCTAAATACAATTTAGATCTATGGTTGCCACAAACACATGATTTAGGCAATTACATTGAGTTCAATTGATTTAGGTGTTCGAGTACCGGGCGATTCAAGGTTTTCGTAATCCCACTCTGTCATTTTGATTTAACGGTGTTAACAGCCTGCGTCCGTTAAGATTGTTTAACGGCCAGCGGCCGTTAAATATCCCACAAAAACACGATGTTGATATTTCTGTAGAATACCTCGTGGTTTATTCTTTCCTCGGAATCAAAATGTAATCTTCCAGCGGGATTACGAAAAGTCTAGAACGACACACGGCCGATAAGCAAATAACAATATTTATCATCCGTTGTTTGCTACATATCGGCCTTGTAACGTTAATAATTATCATTCCATGATGTCTACACTTGATATCTGAAAAACTGATGAAGATAATATAACAAGATAGGAAAAAAATAATTTTATTCAATTTTTTGAAAATCAACCTTCTGAAAAACTGATGAAGATAATACAACAAGATAGGAAGAAATAATTTTTATTCAATTTCTTGATCAACCTCAATGGCAAACAAGAAATAATCCACTAAATTTGTTTTCCACTAATGCATTTACCTACGTCCTGAATATCATGTTGTGAAATAGACAGCCACAGTCAAGCACTCATACTTGACTATCTCTCTTAAAAAATTGTCTCAAAAATATATTCATAACCATAACTCCTTCAAGATAGATATATCATCATGCCAAAAATGGTTCTTGAAATAAAATGACAATTGTGAATTGTTTACGTTTTTCTATCTACTACTGAACTAAAATTATACAAGCAACAATACCCTCGGCTGTATTGAACATCAATGCCTATAATTGATTTTCCTTTCCTTTTCAATCATCAATAAAATCTCGCAGGTAATATGTATTGAAAATATGATTCTCCTCCATTACTGGAGTGACAGTTCTCAAATTTATTAATAAAATGGCAAGCAAAACCTATGATGAAACCTCGGATGAAACCTATATTCTTAACCCTCTAGTGCCCAACCTCAGTAAAATTGATATAATATCAAATTAGACATTTTTTTTCAATTCCTATATGTTCAACTGAGACCTAAAGTGACTTTTCTCACTTGTTAGGTGATCTACTATGTTTTCCATTTGAACATTTTGGACTGCATACATTTCGCATTTCCCATTTCCCACGATCTTCCTTATAAATAACCCAATCAGAGCGTATTTTCGAATTGGTCATCGATGTTATCGCGTTCATCTTCTTCTACATCAGTCAAAATGCTATTATCTAGATTTAAGTCTTCTAGTAGAATTGTATCCGCAAGTTCCAGCAACTCTTTATCATTCAGTGGTGAACCGTACAGCCATTTGATTTTCCGCTGATCCATTGTGTTTTTAGTTCCTTACGGTACTCTCGGGTCAGATGAAGAAATCGATATATTTTCACGAATATAATTGCAATTTGCAGTGACTAATTATTTCCTACTAATGATGAAGTGTTAGGTGATTATTTTTGATGATCACCATGAGTATGGAACGATTATTATTGAAAATAAACGTATCACAATTTGCAGAAAACACCACACTATGACACTTTGTGAATAACTGCCCGAAATGCGCAAATGGCAAATGGTTATAAGTGTTCTCTTGCGTAACGTCAGGACTGAAACTGCGCCAAGTGATATAATGTATTTTAAAACTAAGACAGAAATGGGAGAAACTCAAAATTACCATCAGGCACTAAAGGGTTAAACATGAAGGCATTCTATCACAATAATGCACCTTTCTATCAAATTAATCTGAATACAAGGGGATACAAGTGTGATAAATGTAAATTAATGGGTAATAACAATTATTATCATTAGATATTTACGTCAGATTTTGGCACCAATAAGAAGGGCCCCATGTACATCTTTCAGATCCCAAATTGTGTTTTTTGTGTCCTGGACGAGGAGGGACAAACACCCCATTAGCTATGGCTGAAAAATAAATTTTAATGGTAATTCAACAAGTTATATGGATGAGATTGAACAATCGTTTGATGGCAAATAGAAGACCTTATATACAGGATGAAAAGTTCCCATGAACACAGGTCCGCAAGACCTTCGGTTGAAAGATACGGGGTGTTGAATTTTATTTTATTTTTTTATTTCTTTGCAAAAACAATGATAAACACTTCAACAATTACATTTTAATACCACTAAAAATTATTACATTAGTTTGACAAGTGTCATTATGACACATTATTTAATTGATATTTATCATTGTTTTTGCAAAGATTACATTGGCGCTTTTTGAATAATTGCTTCTAGACTGTGCTTCTAGCGACTTTGACAATGTATTTCTTAAGTAATAAAGAGGGGATAAAAAATTTCTGCGGTTGAAAATGAGATACAGTGTATAGCAAAAAAGTTACGACCGATTCTATAGGAATGGACCTTGATGTAGTGCCCTCTATCAGTCATCACAATACTTAGATCATATATTTGAATTAAGCATGATGAAAAACCCCTGAATATACCACATTTTATCCTTTTCTTTCGTCTCTGGCTGAAGATATTCAAAAAACCCAAAAAAAAATGAAAATTCAACACCCCCTATCTTTTAACCCAAGGCCTTGTAGACCTGTGTCCTGTGTTCATGGGGACTTTTTTTCTTATTTCAGTGTGGCACTATGCACTTTTTTCTATGCCACCCTGTATATAGAATTTGATAGACTTAATGGACATTGGAAATTGGGGATATTCTGTTTCACAATTCAAGATAATATTCAATACACAATACACCATCATATCATCTTATGAATATAGTTCAACTGGAGCAGCAAAATGAAATAAGATAAGAAATGTTGATGTGAATTATTTTGACACATACTTTACTATCTCTGATTTGTTTATAAAATGGAATGATAAAAAAGACTTATGTACTGAAAATATTGATAATAACAGCCTGATTTATGTATAAGTAGTATTTAATATGAATATTATTGAGAATTTTTGGAAGTGGGGCAATAGTGCGTCAGAGTCTGATTGCTGGAGTCATGTGAAAGCTAGAAACGTCTATAACGTGAAATTATTCCTGCATATACAAGGTGCACCGAAAAGAATCTAGAAAGACCGAGTACATTTTTCTTAAATGGAATAATTCGTAATACTTTGTATATTACCACATATTTTAATGCATCCAGCTCTCCAATATTATTGCCGATGTGTTAGTCACTTGAAATTAATGATTTTGGGTCGAAATAATGTCATTTGCAGATGCAGGTGGACAATTTCAATTAGGGATGCACCGGAATTCCGGCGGTACCACAAAATCCGGCCGATCCGGCCAGTTGGCTGGAACTACCGTTCCGGCCGGATCGCTCCGATCTGATCGCTTTCTGGCAGGAATTTTCGGAACCTTTTGGAAATGTTCAAGTTTTAAATTTTTAATATAATTTAAATTCAAATAAAGATAAAGAAAATTATTTCAAGGTTTTTTAATTGGTGCCTACTTACCTATTGTGAAGTCGTTAATCAATCACAAATAATTTTTTTTTGAACAAAATATATTTTCTTTACAAAAATTACAAAACATAAATAGTAACTGAAAGTACAAAATTCTCAGAAACTTAAAACGTGAACACCAGCATAAATACAAAATGCAAAGAGGGAGTTTCTGTGAGCAAATGAATAATGAAATGACCTGCAGCCCTGTGCCTTTGCTTATGAATTATGAGTAGCAACTAGTAGCAAGCAGATAACAGCAAAGATATCTATGATAACAGATAGCAGATTAGCAGGCGTCTGGGATTTCTCGATTTTCTCTTCTGTGATTCCCCAACGTACGGTCAGGGATGCCCCGACTTTCGACCAGATGTATTTTGTAATTCATGAAATTGGTCAACACTGTCAACAGTGAAGGGTGTGCGTGTTTCCTTGCCTAAAATAGACCGGCGGCTGTGGTTCCCCGACTTCTTTTTATTTTTTTTTATTATTGGCAGGTGGCTGCTATTCTCCAATTGAATGAGTAGAATTGTTTTAATCTTGTTAATGCTGATTAAAAATTATTATTCAAATAAACAGTAATTTTAGATGAGTATCTAGGTAAAATTAATGGTAATAAACACTCTGCATACTGTAGCTGGTTTAAGAAAAAAAGTACAAATAAATCAGCCTCAATATTTTCAATGTTTTATGTATAAAAATAGGCATGCACATACATTTTCAATTTAGGTCCCGATCCGGCAAGAATTCCGGCCGGATCGGCAAAATACCCGATCCGGTGCATCCTTAATATCAACATATTCTTTCATCTTTCACTTGCAATAAAAGTGTCAGAGTTACCAAGGAGTTACCCATGAATTCATGAATGAGCCACTTGGTGGCATATAATGTACTTAGTGATTTCCGAACAAAAAGAAATTGAAAAGTTCAAAGGTGAAATCATTGATATTCAACTATATAAAGTGAATAATAATAATAATTAAGATTTTGAAAAATAACGGGGGCCGACCCATTTTAAAATTTGAATGTCATGGAACATCTACATAAGTGATCACCTAATGGAAGAACGAATTCACCTTGAAAATTCTAGAATCAGGTAGAGGACAGAGGACATATCAACATCTCAAAAACATCCTGTTACTCAGCTTTTTTGTCAACTTTTGTCACAGAGAGAGAAAAACGAAGACAAAGAGTGAAGATATTTTTTTTCATTTTTACATTGAACAGGGGAGCAGACCTGGACTCCTGGACTCTTTATATTTCAGGGTTCTACCATTCTCTACCATTCATAGTAACAAGGAAAGAAAATCCAAAGAATCTAGAGAAATGAAAGAAAGATAATTTTCACTTTGTACCTACTTGGTTGTGGATTGAAATTTGAAAGTTTTTGTTTTGTTGAAATTAAATTTCCATTTTGAACCTACAACTGACTGATATTTAGATATTTAATAATACCTTGGTAGTTGATATTTTGCTTATTTGCTCGGCTGGGTTATTTGATTGTGAACTGATAGAATAAGATGTTTTTGTGTGAAATAGATTTTTTATTCTGAAACCTCCCTTCGAGACTTCCTCCAATCAGCATGTTCACATGTTGGTATTTTTTAGAACAGTGGTTAATTTTTTCTAGGAGCCATAAATTATTATGATGGGGAAAGGGGAAGGCATGAAATTATGCTACTACCTTGTAAATTACTATAGAATATAGATATACCTATGCTTAGTTCAGACTTTTTGTTGACAGGTTTTGAAACTATATAACTTTTATTCAATGTACTTGAGTATTAATTATTAAACATGAAACAAAATTTCTTTTAAAGGATAATACCTAAATAATGATGTATTTAGAAAAAGCCAGTTGAAGCAAGTGTAGAATTATCCTTATCAGGTTTTATGACCTGCTTTAGATTAATTTAGAAGGATATTATTTCTGGGATTCCCCATAACATTTGCCAGGGTTACCAATATTTGAAGCAAAAATAGGTTGTATCTCAGAGTTGTAGTACTTTGTCTCAGAGTATTGAATACTAGGACTACATATAACTGGTATATAAAGGATGTCCGAGGATAGGTTTCCATGAGGGTTTCCATCCCAGCAAACACGTTACATCACATGGCAGTTTCGCGAAGTCCCAAATTGCAAATGGAAATATGTTTTCAGTTTGATTACGCATGTTTGTTCTGAACGTGGTTACATTGAGAATTCGCTTTGTTAACAAGAAATCTAAGATGCAGTGATTATTATTTCAAGATAATAATAAACAACCACAATGTCATTACCACAAAATGTGTTGAATTTCTAGTTGAAAAGATCGTCATCGAGAAACATCGCAAAGAAGTCTATTCGAGAAAGTCACCATATCAAAAGGAATAAAATGGAGAAGTCTCAGAGAATCCTCGCATGAATGTGCCCAATGTGATTGTAAATACGACATTTATTGTCTCAAAAACTGCCACAGTGACTATACGGATATATGTTTCATTTGGGCTATTTTATCAAATCTCAATTTGAACAACACAATTAATGAAATGCGTACTTGATGTCGCGGACATTTCGCTGCAAATAAGAGCGGGAGGAGATGTTTTTCGTACATCGCACGCGGATATTAGTTGCAAAATTACTTCCATAGTACTTTACAGTTACTGCCCTGTGTTTGCTGGGATATTCAATATATGCAATTTCTAGAAAAACACTTTTTGAAACACAAAAGATTGAAGATCTATCTGTGAATCTCCAGTAAGCATAATATAATTAGTTGATGTTTGATGATCTGAACCATGTGAACTCTATAATCCAGAAATTTCTAAGAGGACTAAAATAGGAAAAGAAACAATCAACATAACATAAATATGACCAGTATCCTAAACTAATCATGACTGTAAACAACTTGATGACACAAACTTATCTTGGCAAAAGCTAAAGGTCGACTAAAGTCTCAAACCAGTTGTATAAAAATAAAAAGTTAACAAAAACAAACCAAGTATTTATCGAGATGAGCAAACAATCAAGGCAAACAATAGAAAAGTTCAATGCAGAGAAATGATTGCCTATTGATAAATAAGAATATCCACCTGAGGGAGTATCTATTATGGTCTAATGATAATATTGTTATTGTGGAATATTCAGTTGAAAATTGATTCCATTGTTCAGAAAAAGTCTAATTAAATGATAACACTGGAATTATAATTGTATATTATATCAGAAATAACCATTAGCCTACTCACCTTATTCTGTATTTGGAAATAATAAGGTAAAGTTGTAGAAAAATTAGGGTGATACTACACACCGGGAATAGGAATATAGGAAAACTTACAATGGATTTTATGCAGTGGGTGCTTGGGTAGTTAAATGATGGACAAAAGGGAAATGTACTTTGAAATTGATTAATTGGCCATTTCCAATACTTACCAAAGAATGCCACAAAGGCGATGAAGATAAATATCTTCATCTTGAAACTGTAATCTTCTTCAAATAAGTAAAAACCGCTATCACTAATTTTCTGAACTGATTAGTCACCAAAACAACACACAAAATACAACTGCTCTTCCAATTCCAAAACTTCAGTGGATAATTTGATTTCTGACTTATTTATAATCAAATGTCAAAAATTGTTTACTATTTATGTTCTTTTCTCAGTTCGAAGTGAACTAAAAGAAAAGGAAGAGAAGATCCGAAAAACCAATCAGAGACAAGGATAGTACCAATCACTTTATTAAAACTACGCCCTTATTACACCTTGACCTTACTGTGCAGTAGAACGTAGAACAAATCAACAAAATGCTCCGTGCTAGTTCTGTTACTCGGAACAGTTCAAGGAACAGATCGATAAACGCATGATAGCCAACTGAAATTTTACATTTCTACCAACTGCCTAGAACAGTGTCTTAAAATTGTAATGTGGATTGCATAGCTTCAGTGAGAATTCGAAACATGATACATTGAATGGGACACGGAGAAAATAGCATTACTCCCTGTTCCGTCGATATAGATAGAACATGGTTTCACTATTGAAATCTGAAAATGGATATGGTAAATTCAAGATCAATTAACGAAAACATCATGTAACTCATTTGATTGACAACGTCACCAATTGTCACTGGGAACTAAAAAGTGTCAGGCCAAATACGAATTTGCGATACAAAAAATCCATTTTTTATGTTGAAAACGGCAGCAGAGATTCATTCCTGAAACATCCAAAGCTAAGTAAAAATTTGATATTTTTTCTCATAAACGCAGTGACATTTTGGGGCAAATCATCTGATTTGTCCTAACTACACGTATATTGAAATAATATTCATATTTTTATTCTATAGAAAAAATCCGGAATAATGAATGTTATTCTCTATTTGACTTTTATAAGTATAAATACTATGTACTTTATTTACTGTTATTGAAATATGTACCTATTTGAACTTTAAACTTATCGAGCAAAGAATTATAACAAATTAAGTAAGTGTGAATAAGTAATGAAAAGTAATACATGCTCTATTCCAATTCGATATAGTATCTGACAGTATACAGTAGGGTTTATATACACAATCACTCTATTATCATACTTTGGCTCATATAGAGATCAGAAAGATTTGTTATGTGTGTTATTCAATTTGGGCCACCCCATCCCTGTACTTTCGTATCCCTAGGGCTATTTGAAAAAATTTTTCGCTCAATATACTACTCAAAATTATCTACTTTGTCGAGCAAAAAAAAATTATCAATTATAATTCCTCAGCCTACTGCGATCACAAAACTCCAGCAAAATTACATTTTTTACAAACATTTTGATAATGGCAATCGATTCGGAATAGTCACAAATACTCCCATATCAATTTTCAAAACAATATCTCATAAGGGATGTTTATTATCAACGTTATAATTCTTGAATAAGTGAATTTTTCAAGTCACCGCTTTCAAATATTTGAATAATACCAGACATGGTAGTCAGGATTAGATCATCTGGCTACAGACTACAGAGTGAGAAATTCAGGCCAAGGAATAGAGGAGAGTTGCGACAAAGAATAGAGAGATACCACCAGAAGAACTTAGGAGAGTTGAAAATAACGTGTGAAGGAAATATGAAAAGTATAGAGGATGAAGGAGATTTGATGGGGACTACAAAAATCTGAATTTGTTAGGAATGGTTGCTGTTTTAGTCTTTCCTTCTAACTTTTCATGTTATTTTTCATTGGTATTATTTTGTTTCCCCTTCTTCTTTTCATTTCTTTATAGAAAATTCGAATTTATAGTGATTTTATTCAATATTTTCCTCACTCTGTAGACAGATTATCTAATCCTGACTACCTCTTCATGCCTGATGGAATCATTAAATTCCATATAAGAATTATTATGAACGGTGACTCGAAAAATGTAATCATTCAAAAATTGTAACGTTTATAAAAAACGTCCCTTATGAGATATTGCTCTGAAAATTTATATAGGAGTATTTGTGACTAGTCTGAATCGATTGCCATTATCAAAATTTTGCTGAAGTTTTTATGATCGCAGTAGGCCAAGAAATTTTGTCTGATAATTTTTGTTTGCTTCACAAAGTAGATTATTTTGAGTTGTTTATTATGAGCGAAAAAAAATTTCATATCGAATACGAAAGAACGGGGTGGGGTGGACCAAATCGTAACACACATAACAAATTTCTCTGCTCTCTATATGTGCAAAAGTGCTTAGGGCATGTCATTTCAAGCACAAAAACTTCCCTACTTATTTATACGGTTCATAAGTGTGGATTTTTTTTATCGCTTACGTCTCACATATCAATCTATTGAAAAATATGGTGAAACTTAGCCGTGGCACTTGATATCTCCAAGGCATTCGGACTCCTCGACTATAGCTTCCATCTTATGGCTTGCCTCCTCAGCTATGTTCTTTGCTAGCTAGTTTATTCTCAAACAGATCTCTCCATGTAGTGGTCGACGGAGTTTCACCTGACTCTCTTATCAAAAATGCTGGTGTTCCGCAAGGATCAATTCTAGTACCAACACTATTTCTACTCCATATCAACGATTTGTTGGAAGCAACTTCATGCCCAGTACACAGCTTCGCGGATGATAGTACCCTTCTCTTCCAGGGCTCCAATACCAGCCAAGCAAATCAGAAACGAACGAGGAAGAAATGTTGATGACATAAATATGGACTTGGCAACAATTCTCGAATGGGGATCCAATAACTTGGTAGATTTCAATGCAAACAAAACACAAACATGCCTTTTATCTAGAAAAGCAGATCTCACTGTGCCCAACATAAGCTTGTCAGGAGTAAGCATACCTTTGAAGACATCCATCTCGATACTTGGTAATTGGTATCACTATCAGCAATAACATTTCTTGGGAAAATCACGTGAGATAAATTGCTGAAAGTGTATCCCAAAAACATGGTTTTCTGTTTCGGGCAAGGAGCTGCTTATATGATCTATAAGGCACAGATCTGACCTGTCCTGGAATCCTGTTGCCATATTTGGAGTGCAGCACCCAAACATACCCTGAAACTGTTGGATTCTGTCCAAAAAAGGGCAATTCGTCTCGTGGGTGATGCCTCGCTCACAAACTCACTCACTTCTCTGGAACACCGTTGGCGATCTGGCTCTATTTTATAGATATTTTCATGGACGATGCTCTTCTGAAATATCGACAATTGTTCCTCCCTTGGCAGTCCCCGCGAGATTAACCCGTCGAGTTGAGGCTTCGCACCCTTTCGTGGTCACTTTGGAGACCTGCAGAACATCTCTTTCCAAAGACTCGTTTATCCAACGAACAGCGAGGCTCTGGAACACATTGCCAAGAGATGTGTTCCTCGAGGCATATAACCTCCAGAAATTTAAGGAGAACACTAATTCCTACCTTATTTCCCTTGGTTCTCATACGATGTTCTCTGAACATTACAAGATATCCCTTTTCGTGGGAACCAGAACATAAAAAAAACACTTTATATGTCATATTTCTTTGCTCGACAAGTTCGAAGTTCAAATAATGATTATTATGCTGTAGGTTTAAATCCACTGACTGCACAGCAATAAAATATGAAATCAAATTGAATCTACATCGCCGAATCCAATTATTATTGTAGGTGCTGAGCGGATCTCGCCGATCTCGGGAACTTTTTCATCTAATCAAATTTACTGCACAAGTCATCACTTTGAGTTCACTGGCACAAGATAATAATTGGCTTACCAGGGCCATTGCGATGGAAGATAGGTCGGCTTATATATCGAGATGGGGTGAGGTCGCTCGCCCTTTATCAGGGCCAGATATATTAGCTATAAATTGCAAGCGACGTGCCAAAGGCGGTATTATCAACAAGTCAAATGCGTTCAACATGGTAATACGTATGTTTCTTATTATTCGTTGTAATCCGGGCCCTCGATACCAATTTTCATTCGGCTATAATCTTCCTAATTCGGTGAATATCGAATCGATTCGAGTTGTGAAAAGAATAAAATAATCAAATTGATTCAACTGTTTACTGGGTGTCTCAGAATTTGAAGTCATGAACCATACCAACGAGAGATTTCTTGTTTTTGGATATATGACAAATCGATATTCATCTTACAGGACGTGCAAAGACATTCTGAATTGAGAAAACCTAATCACGAATCTGCGATTGAAGGTCTATGAAAATAAAAAAGTTTCCATTGTTCAAGTTTGAACCCCTCGATTGGGTGAAAGTATTTTGAGGAGGAATTTCCTCAGATAAATTATGAACATAAAAAAATTGATATATACAGAATGGCATTGAAATAAGTGCAAATATTTCAAACACTGAAAAAACTCGACGTGTACTAATTAAAAAATTTAAGGATCAAAATCTGACGTCACCTCTGTTCAAATTTCCATGTGGTAGGCACAATCACACGAAGTTCAATCATTTAAATTGTTTTAAAGTGGCGTTCTTAATTTTTTTCTCGTAGATTCTTCAATTTTTGGGATGAAATTTTTCGTTAATTAGAAGAATTAGAAAAAATCTGATATCATGGGAATATTCCTTAGACTTCATAATGTGCTGAATATGTGCACTTATTTCAAAAGCACCTTGTATATAAAGAAATACATTGAGAATTCGTATTCTCTATGTATTGAAAATATCAATTCTTTCTCGCTTTATTCAACAGAAAACAACTACTTTCCTGGCTATAGACCACGACTAACATTGAATCATATCTATGTGTATATATTTAGATCTATGTCTATCATAGATCTAATGTATCTATTGAACACACACGATAAGAATTTGAAAACAAAATCTTCTGAAGTTGAGAATTTGCATTCTCTCGCAGATAAAAATATATGTATATGCACATAATACAATTCTGAATAATCAATAGTTAACAACTACCATCTGAACAAATTGGTAAGTTATATTTTTAAATCATATTATTCCCATTTGAGAGAGAATGACAATTCTCAATTTCAGAGGATTTTTATTTTTCATGCTCTCCTTTTTGGAAGCTGTCTTCGAGTCTTCTTATTTAGAACATCGCGAGTGAAATAACCTTATTAAAATGAAGAAAATAAGACGTCCTCGTGGGGTAATTGGAGATATTTTAAGGATATCCTTAGACTGTGTGCTATATGACAAACATATTATGTTTCCTGAAAAGAAAGCCACTGATTTCCAATTTTTTTTATTCGGTTCATGATATTTTTATGCCATTCGATATGCTTATATGGTCTGACTAAGAATAACACCACACGGTATATGGAGGTCCTACCTGTAGTAGAAAGAGGCTAAAAGGGTATACCAATATAAGTGGTAGATGACTAATC